TCGCAGCATCGTGAACTTCTTGAACGAACGTTCCCTTCCAATCACGGCCGTGCCATAAGACACGCTTCTTCTCCACCGGGTCTTTGATCTTCATTGCCCCATCATAACTAGTCCTTGGCCAGCGACGCGACAGGAAGGTCAACGTTCTTCGCCATGCGTTAAGCCTCGTCTGGCAATGCAGCCGAATCACGTTTATCAATGATTGGCTGTGAACATCATCAACATCTCCAACCATGTCCGCCGCTGTACAATCGGAGCAAAGACGTCCGACATCATGTACGTCTTAAAGAGAAGCCGGGAACCGTCGTTAATCCGAACAGCAGGCGTTGGATCTACCTGCAGTAATCGTATTCCTAATCAGCCATCATGCTTGCATCATCGCTTCTCTACGGTCTTCTGACCGCCGCGACCTCAGTCAGCGCATACCACCACGCAAAGTCCATCAACTACACCGTCGTAACCGGCATCTTCCAACAAGACGATAACTCGACCGACCCCTCGACCTTCAACTTCCTAACCAGCAACTTCGGTCTAATCAACCGGACTTACCCCAGCGACTCATCCTGCCCAGACCGCAAACACTCAACCCAATGGCAGCGTCTCGCCCACTATATCTCCACCCTAAACAAGAAGGCACCGCGCAATGAGCGCTACGCCCTCTTCTTCATGGGCCGCCACGGCGAAGGCTTCCACAACGCCGCAGAATCCTACTTCGGCACTCCGGCATGGAACTGCTACTGGTCTGAACTCGACGGCAACGGCACTGTTACCTGGGCAGATGCTCAACTCACCATCGACGGTGTCGAGCAAGCGAAGGTAGTAAACAAGTTCTGGAGCCACCTCATCAAAGACGAGAAGATCACCCCGCCTGAGACTTTTTACACCAGCCCCCTGTACCGCTGTCTCGATACCGCGAAGATCACTTTCGAAAGCGTCAAGCTGCCGAAAAAGAACCCCTTTGTGCCTGTTGTCAAGGAATTTCTGCGTGAGGGTATCAGCGCGCATACATGCGATCGCCGCCACAGCAAGTCCTTCATCAAGAAGAACTTCCCTGGCTTCAAATTTGAAAAAGGTTTCGCAGAAGAAGACCCATACTGGACTGAACTCTTCGCCGAGCCGCGCGACAACCAAGATGCTCGCTCAAAAGCTGTGCTTGATGATATCCTCACCAATGACGATAGTACCTACATCTCCATCTCCTCGCATTCGGGTGAGATTGGCAGTTTGCTTCGGGGTATGTCACCGTCTCTTCAATGCCGTTCCGACATCTCTGTACTAACAAACCCCCAGTTCTTGGCCATCGCGAGTTCCGTCTGTCGACTGGTGCTGCTATCCCGGTTTTAGTCAAGGCATCTACGCTCAATGCTCCCCCGCCTGCTACTACGACGCTGCCGTATACACCGCAGAAGACGTGCGCGGCGCCGCCTGCTATTCGCGACTCGAGCTGCAATGACTGCTCGTGCTGCACTTGAGCGCATTGTTTAGTTCCGGATGTAGACTGAAGTAGACATGAATTCCGATATTTACTCCACGATCTCAGCCACCAGATTCCAAGCTCTTGCACCGTGTTCCAGAACGACCTCTTTCCCAACGTTAACCCAGATTCATCTCGTTTACCTGCCGTGTCCTCATCTTGGCTTTCACCTTTCACGTCCCGATGAGTAATCATGTTCATTCGTGGAAACACGGAGAGAGTTAACTTGTGAATCTCACCGTATGTGCATTGTGCCGCCCGTCACCGGTGTCAACTCTGCTTGAACACGGGGTACATTCTGCATAGTGCACCGTGTAGACATGTCACTCCCAGCTCCCAAACATGTCACTCGCTCATCCTTATCCCGTTTTCCTAGCGGCGTCATGCGCGATCAACTCCCTAACCTACTAACCTACCTAACCTCGTTCTCAACGGCTGGGCTACCCAGCCACCGAACTCTATGCCCCCATCTCAGCCTTCGGCATGTCACAGATCGTTCAGATGATTAATCCTGGCCGATTGGCTCCCATCCCATCAACCCCGTCGGCGTTCAGAGTTCCCTGCGTACATCTAGTTCGTCGTCGTCATTGTGGTTTCATTTGCCACCTCCAGCCTTGGATACACTACCAACTTCCAGCACGCAGGTTCACGCAGGTTACACACTACACTACACCCCTCCTCCCTGCCCAACGCAACCCTGCCCAACCCTCCTGAACATCACATCACACCACACCATCGGACCTTTTCATCTAGTCCAGCTGCACCTCAGACGCTGACGATGGTCTTAGCGATGATCTTAGTGAGCTAGGCAAACTAGGTCCCGCGTTGAGGCCAGACTGGCGGGTGGTACACTAGCAGTCATGATCGCTGTGAATCGGGCCTTCTTTTCGCGACCTTTGCGCTTTCGGACTTTCGGGGTCTGGGCGGGCTACTGGTAGTGGTAGTAGTAATGTTGAGCGACTGTGATAGATGATAGGTCAATCGAGACGGAACGGTAGGAACCGCCGTTCGTAAGTCTAGTTGATTTGGAAGGGTTGTTTTGTGGAGATTTTCTGTAGTGTAGAGAGACGGTTGTTAGAGGGGTGGTGCGACGGTCACCGGTCGGGTAGTCTTCGGCGGAGTGTTCTTTGGTTGCGCTGGAGATAGACAGTCACATGATCATGCAGATGGGGGAGTTGGTGGCGGAGGGAAGATGGGATGGGATGGGATGGGATGGGATGGGAAAGCGGTACATCACCGCGAAGGCAATGCTGGTACATGGCGTGATGGTGAGACGACAGTGGCGGTCAGAAGAATGTCTGGCGGGCGATGTCATAGTGAGGAATGATGGCGCTGCATGTAAGCTTGGCGGCCTCGAGCCCTAGTTTGTGTTATACTTTGTAGAGATAAAATTTTATTCTATCTAATTAATTACTAATAATACTACTAAACTTAATAATTCTAATAAGTTAAGTAGCCTAATAACGCTAAATCTATAATATATAGCTTATTTATTTTTATAATAGTAATAGTAAAGCTATAATTACTATTTTTAATAGCTATTTATAATACTATACTAAACTTATATAACTATTTTTCTAACCTTTATAGTAGTATTAAACTATATAATAACTACTACTAGTATTTTTATATATATATTAAATACTATATATAAGATATAAGATCTTTTTTATTTATAAAACGCTCTTTTTACTCTAAATATAGACTTAGTAGTTATTATATATAAAATTTACTTTTATATTTCTCTTTTACTATATATTTTATAAAGTAGTAATCTAGTTTTTTACTATCTTAGTATCTTTACTACTTAGTATAGCTACTTTTAAGTATTCTTTTAAAGTAGTAGTATTAATAGTAATAGTATTAAGATACTTAGTATATACTTATATTTTACTTTTTTTAAGTTTTAAATATATCTTTTTAAAGTTAATAAAGATCTTTTTATTATAAAATTACTAAATCTAAGTAAAGCTTAAGTTTATATAAAAGTTAGAGACTTAATTTAAAAGAGTAAGTAAATTATTAAAGATAAAGTTAATAACGCTATAAAAGCTTACTAAGCTAATAAAAGTAGGTCTTAATAGAGAAGATATACTAAAGTATAAAACTTAGAAATAAGAGTTCTTAAAATTATATAAAATAAAAATATTAGTATTATTAAAAGTATTTATTATATAGTAATAGCTTTAAAGGTAGAAGTTTATTTAAAAAAGTTTTAATATAGTATAAGTAGTAGTAGATATATAAAAAGATATACTAACTTATATATAAGAATATATAGTATTTCTACTTTATAACTTACTTTATAACTTATTCTAATAGTTCTCTAACTAATAAGCTATAGTTATATTACTATTTTATTTAAATTTTAAGAGAAATAATAAAGTAATTATATTACCTATATAGTAATTTTTTTAAAATAAGCTACTTACTAGAGTATTAGTAGCTAAGCTAAAAAGGCTTAGCACGCTCTTACGTATATCTTAGATATAAAGTATATATTAAACTTTATTTTACGCTTTTATAAGACACTTAGTAGAGAGTAGTTACCTATTTAAGACCTAATTTTTTAGATTTAAGATACCTATTACGCTGTTTAAAAATAAAACAAAGCATGTAAGCTTACTTCCCCTCCCCTGCTAAGGTGGTCTAAGGCTCTGCGGCAGTTGTGGGCTTCGTAACAACAGACTTCGTTACTTCTTTCCAAAGTGCCAGGTGCGGAAGCTTAGTGTTTCGATACAAAAAAGCTAGCCTTAGGGTAGCGCATCGCGATATCTTTTTCGACGTCATTACAATATCTAGATAGTTAATATTAAGTAGACTACCCATGTCGCAAATGGATGTCGCAACGTACGTAGAATATTCTCAGCGTTTCTTATTAAGCACATTACTAGTATATACTGGGGTATTTCAAAATGTCATGTCGCTCTTTCTCTTTGCTAATGTACAGGGATGGGGGTATACAAAGATAAAAGGCCGTGAGCCGTGATGATGCGGCAGTTGGTGTCGTCGATTCCCTGCCGTGGTACCTGCCGTGGTATATTCGAGTCAAGTAAGACCCAGACTCGAGCCGCTGTGGGGCGGTGTGCTTCCAGACGAACCCAGAGAGTCAGACGAACCTGGCTTCTTTTTTCTCGCAGTGCTCGGTAACTGCGATTGCCGAGGCAGGTCGTTCGCATACTTTTTCGGGTTCACGATGGGCTTTTTTCGTGGTGGAGTGCGGCTGTGGGGTTTGCTTCTTCGCGCACGTGGAAGGACCACGGTGGTGGGACCGCGGCGTTTAGACATGTCTGTGTCGTTGATGATGTCGACTGGGGTTACGACTGTGAGTATGTGAACGCCATTGCCACCGCGGTTTGGAGACGGCATTAAGGTCATTTCGTTCACGGTACTCCGTTTCAGCTGGACCCGAAGCAAAGAAGAGCTTGCCGACGCGGCAAATATCTCCTTCGCGACGCAAACCACATCGCATGTCTTCGTGATGACAAATGGAAAATGTTGAAAGTGGGTATATTGCTGAAACTCATCATCTGTAAGGCGCAGACAAAACCGATCCCCGCTCTTCATCCGTGATGTAAAATGACTTGGAGACCATGATGCCGTTCTGGAAGTGGTCCTCTTCCGCACTGCTCCGAGCGCTCTTGATCCTCAGACTCCTTTGACTATCGTTGTCGGAGTTGTCCACACGCGTACTTTTCTTCGAGTTTGGTGGCGCTTTTCCGCCGTACCATTTATTCGAATTCGAAACAGGTTCGTCGTCGGAGGTGCGAGTTTGTACGGTGGCGGAAAGTTTGTACATGTCGGGGCGGAGCTTGTCGGCTTTGGAGTTCCCAGCGGCGTTGCCGGGTAAGGGGGCGGACATGCCGTATGCGGACGGACGATAGGCTCCAGTTGGGCGAGTAGAGAGACCGAGCTTGTGCATGGCGATGAAGAATAGTGGGCGTAGCGTTGCAAGACTACCGGCAGTGATAGCGAGACCTTGTTCGACCGATGACCAGATGGCGATGTCAAGTGTGGACCCTGACAGCATTAGTACCCAGTGAATGAGCAGCGGTAGGGAGACTTACAGAGGAAGTCAGGAGAGTTGAAGTAGTGAACGAAAGGCATGCGCGCGATGACCGCAGCACTTGCGATGCACCCCATAGTGATCAACGGGATCAAAGCAACCTTGGTCCTCCTCTTCAACTGCAGGTGCCATACCAAGAATCCCGGAATGATAGCGAAGGTGAAGTCGGTGATGATACTGAAGATACTGTAGACGTAGCCGAGAGCGGTGATGACTGTGTTGTCAACGCACTTTCCTTCTTGCGAAGTGCGGTCCCACATGTACGAGATTGGGTAGCACTGGAAGAGACACACGAAGAAGAAAGTGCCTCCAGCGATGATCGAGACGCACATGGCACTGTAGATAATCCTGATGTTGTTAGTAAGCGTTTTCATAAGTCTCATTCGGTTGATTGCTTACCATGTGTGTAGTTTTCGAATACTAATCCGCAGGAGAAGGAACCCAATGGACAGCTTGGAACATATCATAGATATGGAGTAGAACAGATAGCAAAAGTACCACGCATGCTTGGCGTTTTGGACACCCTCGATGGGCAGGTCACGATGATGTTTTCCGGTTCCATAGTGTATGCCGATGCAAGACGATGTGGTGTACGAAATGAAGAAGAGCTGAGGACCTAATTAGATCGGGACCCAGTTATCGTATTAATCTACACTTACAGTTGCGAGAACCATCAAATAGTCATCTCGGCCAAATGCCTTGACCATACAGACGCGAACATATATCCTCAATGCACAAGCCAGGACTGCGGTGGTAACGAAGGCGATGTTGACTGCGAGCAGCTCGGGGCCTCTGTTGGGAATAGCCATTGTGGTGTGGTATATTGACGAAGCAGTGGACACTCATACAGCGAGGAGGAGCCCCAGAATGAGCACACCGTTCGGTCGGTAATGGGGGGCTCAGGATCTTTTACGCAGCTAGACACTTGACCGAATAAGCAGGGTGGAGACTATAGAAGACACCGCATAATGGGTGCCGCCACGAGTGAAGTGGGTCTGCGGGCGGGCTCCCAGGACTCGTTCCAGGGTCTGGTCCGTTTCAAGGAGCGACCATTACCAACAGGGTCGTTGTCCCGCGGAGCTCGGACACGGGACTATGGATTTGGCGAAGTCGTTCATGCGTTGACAGGGCACACGGGGACGCGTAGAAGCTGACGGCAGTAGTGTTGACTGCCGCAAACGAAATTGTTCATTGAACTCAAATAGGGACATGACGGAGGGGATAGGAGATCAGCGTACACATGTGCAGCAGCTGGGCAGCCTCGTGCACATGGCTGACTTGTACCTCGCATAGGCTGGGACGCCACCATGGCTGGAAGGCAGCTCGCAGTAGCGAAACTCAAAAGCGCGGCTTGGGGAACGGCAGTGGTTGTTCTGACCTGCTTTTGGCGGTGCCTAGATGCGTCCCGCTCGAAGGAGTTTCGCGATGTTCACCGGCCACGTGAAGGCTAGCCGAGAAGGGGATTAGTCACCGAAAATCTCGCAAGGGCTGCGTCTTCCGTGCCTTCCGCTTCCCAGCTAGCTCCGACGCCCACTGACAGCCAAAGAGTCAACACTCAACCTCACAGACTCCTCGGAGCTCCCACTTGCTGCCGCTGATCGGCTGCATCATTGCGCAGTATCTCTTTAACCGTTGGTTTCAGCTATTCTACGCTGACTGCCGATTCTCTCGATGAGGAAGTGCTCTGCACCTCTAAAGACGGGAACTTGTAACCGCTAGCCAGGCGGTTCCTGAACCTGCGTGGAGCCCCACTGACAGGTAGGTTTGCGAGAGCGAGAGTCCGCCGACACCGCCAGGCGTTCCACGATGATAGATACATTGTACTGTGGCTTTTGACGTTCAATTGTACAAGTCAAGAATGTCGCCAGACTAATCAGATGCCTCGGCTTCCTCACATTGAGTCTGCAGGGTTTCACGAGTATCTAGTGCGCGGACTGACTCGTCGTCGCGGGCATCGGCACTTGCTGTAGGCACTGGAGGACCTGGATCTAGCTCAGCACTTGCATCATCGCCAACGCTACTATCGTCCCCTAGATGCAGAGTCCGTCGCACGAACAACCATAGTTCGTGACTGAAACCTGGACTTGGGATCTGATATACAACAACGGCTAGTCGTCCGAACGCCTGTCAATTGCCTGTCCGACGACTACTGCTTCAATATTTCGACAAACAGGCATCGGGATTGAGTGCCAACGCGGGTAACGCAGGATGGCAGGTCGATGAGCCTTGCAGGCACCATCCTAGCGATCAAAATTCCACATGTGGGCCCCGAATCCACAGAACAATGGCGACATGAGCGTCGCATGCATCAGGGTAGCACAGCACTTCCAAATTCCTGGAAACAACTCCGCAACCGTTTATCTCCCGATGCCACGCCCGTCCGGTCCTCTCCAAGGCAGTTGGTCTCAGCTCAACGTTCTTCCCGTTTGGTAAGTTCGTCTCAAACTGCCGAGGGAACGCTCACCAGGCCTCCCAACGAAGGTTTAGGCGTCCGGCGGAGCAGACTCCTGGGGAAAAACTCCGGCTCCCAAAGTGGCGACCGTGTATTGGAGTTCGGAGAGTAAAACGGTGTTCCCCTGCGAGTGCGACGAAGAACTCTTCATACCCTTGGCCTGTTGAACCCACCTTCGAGCCGCCCCATCGCCGCATTCGTGCAACCCTTGCAGTCGGGAGCAACGATCCTATGGTTGACTGGGTTGAGTGAAAATCTTGAACATTCTTGGACGACGCTCGCAAGGTTCAGTCATGGCAACAAACTTTGGTTAAAATGTGAGTCGGTACCTGCTCTGGTAACGGACGAACTTGCGGGTTTGGTGTCTAGTTCGCGCTTATGTCCGACGTCCTGTTATCCGTGTACACGATGGCGGACAACATGCCTTCGAACCAGGGAACTCAATAAATGTTTGCTAGAGGCCTAACAACCGAAGCAGGCAGGTGATGTACTGCAACAAACGTCGTCGATATACTGGAATATTGGCGACATTCAACATGCGGACATGTTGTAGGCCGAGCCGCCATCTAGTCCGAATGCGATTTCTGATGCAGCTGCCACGGCTGCTAAATCAGGAGGCGAATATCACAACCCGAACAAGACACGGCAACCCATCATCAAATGAACTGCCGATCTTGTAAGCTGTACCAGAACGAGGCTTCTTACACAAACGAATGGTCTACACAAGGAGCATAACATGAACATCATCACCCTCCAATCCAAGTACATCCACTCCGAAGGGGATCGAAATGCACTGTTGCATTGCTGTTACGGCCGAACTGGAGTGAGATATCCCCTTCTTTCCGGGCAGAGTATTGACATGTGCCCAGCAAGATCACAACTTTGCTTTTGCAGCACATCTTCGCCTTCTTATCTCCAGATAGCACAACACACACAAGCATCCGCTTCTTGGAGTAGTAAGTCCATGCGATACCCTCCATGATTGCTTCTTCGCATCCTCCGCCCTCCTTTTCCCAAGATAAGCAATTTGCTTTTTTCTTATGCATGCATGCAAATGCATATCACGCACATGTACATAGCATGCGCCAATGCGGCACAGTCTCGGGCGCATCAAGGGCACGACGCGCCCGCCCACTCATCCAACACGAAGGCCCCCCGGAAAATCCTAGCGGCTACGTCCCGCAGCCGCCCCAATCACGACGGCCAGAATATTCCCCGCATTGCACCGCCGAAGGAATGCCGTGTGGGTGACAGCGGCTGTGGCGTAGCTTGTTTCGATTCGTAGATGCTTGTGGATGGTAGATTAGCCAACCGCTGGAGGACGGCTGTGCCACTGGTAGGTTGTTTCGTAAGAGGTGGAGACATTGCGGCGTGGTTGAGAGGTCTGGTATATGAAGAGGTGAGTGCGAGGTACGGCGCACGCTGTGTGCTATGTACCATATTACAGATATCTTCGGACCGAGTATCACTCAACACTCCAAACGAACGCACTGCGGAACCGGCTTACAGCGACACGTCAACTTGCGACTACACGCGCACCAACACAGCACAACATGAGAACCGTTCTCTCCGTTGCAGGCCTCATCGCCTTTGCTACCGCCTACCCACTACCCTCGCCTGAACACCCAGAAGCCCTACCCCTCGTTACTCTCTCCCTCATCGGCTCACCCTCACATTACACCCTCGGCTCATCCCAAAACCCACAAATATCCACATCAACATCCAACAACGCATGGTCGATACATATACCCATCGACGTATCTCTCGACCTGAGCACACGGCCCGAACACGTCCAGGCCATCGAGATACTCGGGGTAGAGAAGGGTACGGATCTGCAAGGAGGCGCAGTAGAGAGGGATGATACGGATGTGGTGTGTAAAGCGAGGTTGGGGTGGGGAAGTGAAGGGGTGGTTGTGAGGATGGGTGGGGAGAGGGTTTTGCTTGATGGGGGGAAGGTGGGGAAGGTTACTGGGGTGGAGTGTTGGAAGGAGAGGGTGTAGATTTGTGTGTACATGGACGATGGGATTTGTGATAGCGGGAGGAGGAGGTGGTGAGTTTGCATCTTTTACATTGCGTTGGCATTTGATATTCACATCCGCCTCGGAGCGTGTATGTTGCTTCCGCTTTGTCTTCTACAGGCAGTCTTATAGCCTAATAATATAATCCCTTCCAAATGTTCTGTTGACCTACCTCGCACACATGAACATCATCACAATCCTCAATTACTACGCCCTATAACTCCGCATCAGCTTCTCCACAATACTAACCCCCACCTGCTCCTCCTCACTCATCTTCCCCTCACCCACCCCCTCCCCATCTACCTTCTCAGAAACAAACCCCTCCTTCCGCATAATCCCCTCCATCATCCTAATCCCCCTCAACTCCTGCAGTGGCGGAATATTCTCCACACCCTCCGGATCCACATCATCAAAGTCTACACCATTGCTAGACTTAACCGCACCCTCAATCTCATACAGCGCATCCGGTGTAACAACAAAATCACACTGTACCTCTCCCTTCCTCGTCGGAGATACTGTTACCTTGTCCACGCCTAGCTCCGCCTCATCAACAACTTGACACCCATGCGCAACCGCCACAACAGGTGTCTTAGGGTGTAAAACACCCAGATCCGATAGCATCGCATATTGTATCTCGAATAGATTATGCCCTTCCCAGATCGTCACGCCCTGCGCGTTGAACACCAGACCCCCTGTCACACACAGATCTACCCGGAGCCCTTCATCGCGCATCTGCGCCAGCGACACCGAGCGTCCTATCCCAGGTTTCTCCATGCCGTCTAGACACGCCGCGATTTCGTATTTCGTCTCCGCTATCCGCCCGGGATGTAGCAACACGAATCCCCTGCGCAGGCGGTATGTAGCGACGAGGACTTTCTTCCCGTCTTTCAGCGCCCGGCAGCGCAGGTGCTCGAGGCTGTTGTCGGGGGTTATGAGGATAGTGGCGGCGGATTTGTAGCAGGGGAGTGATACGAGGCGGTCGATGGCGGTGGCTGAGTTGCGGAAGTCGGGGGTGAAGGACATGTAGTCGTGGTTGAAGCGCGCGTCGGGGTGGGCGTGTTGGAGGAGGGTGCGGTAGACGGATGCCCAGATGAGTTTGCGGGCGGAGTCGATGTCGGCATTGGTGCCGGGGGGATGAGGGGCGGTCATTGGGAGAGGGAAGCGAGTGACGGGTGACTGGAAGCCTGGGTGGTGGTGATGCTGTGGGAGCGAAAGGCGGCGTGGTGGACTGTACGCGCCGTGCCGCGCACTCCATCGGTGATGGATATGGCGGGGGATTCTTTGTTTGGGCTGACTAACCGGGCCGCATCGTCATTTTGCGTCCTCCTCCTCCCTCATCTCAACCTACAAACAGCCCGTAGTCGAAATAGGATTCCCAGTATCTTCCTTCACGATGTACAGAAGTCGCGTCGCGAAGGCATGGCAGGATCCCGGCTTCACCCGCCCGCGCGTCATTGGGGTAGACTTCCCGCGTCGGCATGCGCTAAATCGGCTACATGATTAGGCCCGTTGTATTACCGAAGAGTCACATATCTCAGGGCCAAGACGCGTGCATGAAAGATTTGAGTATTGTGACTGGTTATCTTGGGACATATTAAACGGCATCTTCGATGGACAAACATGACGAAATCGAGATGCGGACAGCGGCGACACCATCAAGCCGGTCGTCAATGGAACGCAACAAAGGAACGACACCAGAAGAGCGCATTACAGAAGCAACGAATATGGGTTCGATTAACACGGGACCATCAGTTCTCGATTTACCAAAAGCTGGTGAGGCCCTCGAAGCTGAGACATCCGACACAAGAGAAGGGAACAACCCACCAGTCAAGAAGAAGCCACCCAAACGCGCAAAAGCCCTCTCAGTCCTAAAATGGTTCATAAAAGACCAATGGTTCCTCCTCGCCATGGGCCTCGTCGTCCTCCTCTCCTCCCAAGTCCAAGTCCCCGCCACGCAGCAACGCACAAAACGAACCGTAATCACCTACCTCGCCGTATCCGTCATCTTCTTCATCAACGGCTGCACACTAGACACGCGGGTCATGCTCGCCAACTACATGCGCTGGAAACTGCACATCTTCGTGCAACTCCAATGCTACCTCGTTTGCTCCGCAGCCACCTTCGCCATCGTGAGTCTATGTGCTACGAACCGCGATTTCATGGATCCATGGCTCTTGATCGGCTTCCTCTTCGTCGGCAGCGCGCCCACAACCATGTCTAGTAATGTTGTTATGACGCGGCAAGCCCACGGCAACGCAGCCCTCACAGTCGTGCAATCGGTAATCGGCCAGTTCCTCTGTCCCTTTCTCACGCCGATAATCCTGCAAATGTACCTCTCAACCGGATCCTGGTATAGCAAAGTCCTGCAACGCGGGTCTGGCTACGCGGGCATATACCAGCGCGTCTTTATGCAACTCGGCCTCTCGCTCTTCCTGCCCATGCTGCTGGGTCAAATCGTCCAACGTCTCTTCCCCGCGCTCACAAAAAAGGTGTTCTTCGAGTGGAAATTGCTGAAACTCTCCTCCATCGCCCTCCTAACAATGGTATGGCAAACCTTCGACCAAGCATTCTCCTCCGGCGCCTTCTCAGCCGTCAAACCCTCCAATATCATCTTCATCGTCTTCATCACCATTGCGCTCTACTTCATCTGGCTGGCCATCTGCTTCGTCGCTGCCACTATGTGGCTCCCGAAGAAAGATGTTATTGCTTGTTGTTATTGCTGTCCGGCTAAGGCGCTGGCGATGGTGGTCCCGCTTACGAGCGTTATGTATATTAATATTGATCCCGTGGATCAGAGTAAGATGCAGATTCCGGCGATTATTTTTCAGGCGTTTCAGGTGGCTATTGGTGGGATTATGACGATTGGGTTTCGGAGGTGGGTTAGACCGGAGGAGGAGAGGGAGGAGGCTGAGAAGAATGTTGAAGCAGGAGGGTCGAGATGAAGTTGGAAAAGTGAGTCTGGTCGATGCTTTTGATGGATGAAGGTATCTATACTATGCACGAGCATCCCTCTCTTTCCTAGCTGTTATCTGTGGCATCTCATGACTTCTCGCAGCCACCATCGCTTGGTCTTCTTCGCTCAGCCATCATCCTCACTTCCTGTACTTGTAAAACAGTCCCGCCATGTTGTATAGTAATCCTCAACGCCGATAATGCACATGCTCCAACCCCAACCCCACCAGCCCTATTCCTGTTTAAGTAATGCAGCAGCATCCATTCGGAATCTGTTCTCATCAGCCTCATCCTCAGGTTTGATCCGTACAGAGAATACATACGCATTTGCATATCCCAAGAAAGCCATCGCAAGGACACTCGATGCAGGAAACCGCTGCGGTAGTTCCATCTGCATTCCTGACTTCCTTGACGGATCGATTGAGACTGACCTGTGTTGTTGGTTAGACGGGGGAGGTGGGAGATGCGAGGAGAAGATGGAAAGACGTACTGCAGCAGGCGACGCAAGCGCAACCGATGCGGCGACGACCGCGATGATAGCTGAGAGCTTCATGATATCTGAACAGTATACGATGCAAGTGCCGAACGAATGATTGAGCAAGGAATCCCAAAAGCGACGATAGATGCAAAAAGTGTCCCGAAGTCGTGTTATGATCGACCCAAAAACCCAACAAGAATGGGAAGAAGCAAGTAACACAACAGAATCCAGTCCAGATCGACAAAAGACAGACCAGTCTGTTCTTAAACAGCAATTCCTTCTGCCCATCAATCTACTAGTCACGGCATCTGTCAAGCGAAGCAAGCGTTGCTAGCTCGGCTCCAAACTTTCGTGCCCTGGTCCAAGTTCATCAATTTGCATATTGCCGTACGACATGGCACTCCGGTTCCCCGCGTGCGCGCCCTCGTGGCAGAAGTCAGGCACGACATATTTCTGCGGGGCGGGGGTAATCTATGTGCGCGTTGCTGGCCCAAGGAACGTCCTCTTAGGAGTCACTAGCGTCTTCTAGCGACTAACAGCATCTCTCTAAATTATTAGCCCTGCTAATAACTATAGTACTGTAGTAACACACTAAACTAGCAGTACTCTAGCAAATAACATTAAAGCTATTATAATTATACTATATACTAAAGTACTATCTTAAAGACCTAGCCTAACCTAGGACTAGACTGCAGTCTAAGTTAAAGGCGCACTCTATTCTTTTGCGTTGCTGGCGGTGGAGCTTGGTGATGGTCTCGCGTAACAGGCACACCTGGAGTTTGGGTGGTGGATGTGTCCGGAACATCGAAGGTTACTTTACTGTACCGTAGGCACATGCCACGAGCTCCGCGACCGTGACTGTCCAATATGCACCTGAGCGGTTTTTACCATTTACCCGGGATCTAGAGATTTCCACACGGCAGGAACGGAACATTTCGACAATCTCGACAAAAGAAACATATGCAATGCAATATACTCATGCCACCATCCGCTCTTTCTTTATTGGTCAACCATAAGATATCCTTTCGTTAACGAAGAATAATATATGCAGGGCGGGCGAAGAAGTCTAGATCGAGCGACTCTCCCCGTGGGAGTCCACGTGTTGTGTATCTCACCTAGTGCATGTGCCGATAGAGAAGGATCGTGGGAAAAAGGAGTGCGCATGCGCCGGAGGCCCATTTTGTGTTGTTTTGCGGCACGCCCGCACGGTATTGCGATGTTGTGGCACGGTGCGGCGGACCCGAAGACCTGTTTCCGCGAACGTGAAGGACGATTTTACGCACGTCATCTTGCGGTGCTGCAGAATTCTGGCATGCCATGTTTTGCGCATATCTCGTCGCTGTTATTACTGCTGATCCGCCATCCACCGAGCAGCGTTCGCAGATTCTAGACTTCCGAGCATCTACATTTACCGCAGCCCGGAGCTAGCATTGAGTACATATACGAGGATGCAGTCGCCCTTTGAGCTTCTGCCAGAAAGACTACTGCATGCGCAGTGTGTTCGCCGACAGAGTTTGGGGCTAGCGGTGTCAAGACGGAGTGACAGCGCTGGGGCGCGACGCGTCGGGTCTTGGATCGCGTGGGTGCTCTGGCTTTGGTGCGACCTTGAAAAGTGTATAGGTGCGCTGGATTATTGCGAAGGGAAGGGAAATGGGAACCTTGGAAGAGGATGGCTTGCTTGGTCGAGGTAACATGCGGGTAAAGCGGCGCATACACGAGGTTCTTGCTGATGGGGTTGCGGATCTAGATGCACGCAGGCAGGTGGGATGCAGAAGCCGATGGCACGATCACGTGAGGAACATGTCTCCACAGATTCCACACTCCAGCTCACACAACACCGCGACCACGCAATCCGACATGAGAAGTACATTGACCTTCAGCACCTCCGCCCATAAACTGCATACCACCCATTCCGTCTCCGACCACGACCGCCATCCCTGACCTTCTGCGCTTCTTCTATCCACCGTTTACTCGCACCAACCCGTGGCCTAGGTCTCTGTTTGTACCCTCCCTTGTGCCACGTCCCATCACCCTCGTACTCGAACTCAATCCCCAACCCCCGTTTATCAGGATTATCGAACCTATCCAGCCAGCGATTCAGTTGCGCATGGCTATCCTTCGCACCAGCAGTATACGACAGAATAATACGTATCTTGCGCATCGGCACCGCACGACTGTCGTATGCCCCCGCGACCTCAAGTCCATCGTTACTCAGCTTCTTCAACTGGGCCTGCGACAGCCGGTTTAGGAACGTGACGACGGGTGCGAAGTTGTGGTTGCGCACTGTGGTCGTTATGACGGGTGCGTGGAAGAGGACGGCATCGATGTACTCGTCGCAGATCTGTCTGTTTACTCCGGCGAGGCCGCAGCGTGTGACGATGCCAAGGGCCCCGGGTTTGAGTGTTGATGTGTTGTCGGATTCTAGGACGTGCGCGTAGATTTCATCTCGTAGCTCTCGTGGGAGGGCGAGGAAGGGAGGTAAGGTGGTGTAGACTGGGCGGGTTTGTATGGGTGTGATGTCTGATGCAGTGATTTTACGCGCACGTTTCTTGGGTGCTGGCGCATTGCTGGTGTTGGGGACTGGGTTGGCGGCTTGCTCGTCGAGTTTGCGCTTTGAACGCCTGAGTTCTTGGGATGCTGTTGTACTCATTGTTTGATTCTATATGAATTCATATCAAGTTCTACATACGTGGTGCTGGTTAACATATACTCACACCCCGCCAAGGCGTTCGTGGTGATCATCCAGGCAGCAGCAGGCAGCGACGAGGCCGTTGAATGCGATGGGAGTCGGCCCGACTGCAACCGGTTCCTTCCAACACCAGCGGCCTCCAACTGCTTTCATCCGAAACACATCCAGTATCTCGTGTTACCATCGCTCTTATCGGAAGAAATGAAAAGGTATAGGTATCGCATTGATTGCGAAAGCTGTGATGGCTTGCTGCAGGCTGCCCGCCAGATGCTACTCTCATCTCATCCTCAGGCTCCCCTCACCGGCACTTCCTATGCGCCATCGCAGAGCAACAGTGCAAAATCACCTCAGCACAATATGCTTTGTTTTTCGTCGACTCTATCTTCGAATTCGATTAGTGAGCGGCGAGCGAAATTCTCAGCCTCAACATCGTCGCACCGGCGCCCGCCTTCAATCCCTCGGAAGTTGTTTGCCCGCACTCGCGAATGAGGAATGTTGCCACGGCTGAGGACGGTCGCAAGCTAAAGGATGCGGCAGGTTTCATGCAAGCTTTCAGCTACTGGCCAGAGTTCCAGGTCTATCTGCTTCAGCTGTAATTTAAGCCGTTGCTGACAAGCCAGCATGTGCAACGTCGGCGGTGTCTGACTTTCCCCGTCCCAATAAGCATCTTACGCCGCTTATCTTTGTGCAACCTCACTCACTTCTCGGCCAACCGATAGCAGCCATCTCAGCCTTAAGCCATCTGTTACACTTCCCTTCTGCAGCTTTACGTTCTGACATTTGCCCATCACACCACCTTCTTGACGAGTCTCACTGCAAACTAGTCTGAGGTTTCCATCAGATGATGACGGCAATCATCAGCAATGCAACTGCCTTACCATAGCAGACCGCTGTAACGTTCGGTAACCGACCAGTAGGATCTGAGACGATGCACATGCCAGAGCCACGCCGATGGCTGAGCTCTGTCTCATGCGGTGATCAAGAGCGGGACCGATGTACTCAGACGATATGTCGCGACCGCTATTTTTGGTTTCCAACAACTGCACTTACTGCGGTATCTGGCTGGCGTTAGCGAGTCGAGGCGTGCAGTTTGTCAAACACCGCTCTGTCCTTCGCCGATGTGCGCAAGGCTGTTCCTTAAGCCCTCGTGGTCATCGAGATAAAGGTCTCCGAATGGCGCCGCTTACGGCTGCATCCGCCTCCAAACTCCTCTCCTAGCGTTTTCGTTCAACATGCTGCATTTCACGCTCTTGCAGCTAGTTCTGGTTTCCGTCGTCTCTTGCTTGAGGTTCGACAAAGCATTTGTTGGGTACAATCTTAATGAGAATGAAGCAGCTATAGAGCCCCTCGACTACTCAGGCGAATGGAAAGACCACACATTCCACCCATCACCAAAGAATTGGCGATTCCCATTCTACACACTGTTTCTGGATAGATTTGTCAACGGCGACCCGACGAATGATGATATCAACGGGACGGTGTACGAAAAAGACTCGCAGAGTAATCAGTTGAGACATGGAGGTGATTTGGTGGGGTTGGTAGATAGCTTGGACTATATTCAAGGACTAGGTATCAAGGTAAGCAAGTCTACTGCTCCATGAGCTTCGAGCTGAGACGTATAGGGCATCTACATCGCCGGCTCGCCCTTCATCAACAATCCATGGAAGGCAGACTCGTACTCGCCGCTAGACTTGACGCTTCTCGACAAGCATTACGGAGATATCGCAGCATGGCGAGCAGCTGTCGATGCCATCCACAAGCGGGGGATGCATGTGATACTGGATCACACAATGTCGACGTACGTAGCACAAGTGACACCCGATCACCCTAGCTAATCTCGTGTATAGCATGGGTGACCTTCTTGGCTTCGAGGGTTTCCTCAACGAGACAGCACCTTTTCGTCCGGAAGAACACAAAGTGCAGTGGAAGTCGAGCCGCCAGTATCTAGACTTCTCGTTCGGGAACAATTACAACGCCACATGCGCATACCCCAACTTCTGGAACGAGTCAGGGCAACCGGTGTTGAAGGATTCTGATAAGACGTTTAGCAGGCTTGTCGGGTGCTATGACAGCGAGTTTGATCAGGTATGTTACGCAACTTGATAGCGAGGAGCAGAGTAGTTGTACTAACGATCTACCTCTCGCAGTATGGCGATACGGAAGCGTTCGGTGTATTTCCCGACTGGCAGCGCCAGCTATCCAAGTTCGCATCCGTCCAAGACCGTTTACGAGAATGGGTACCTTCAGTCCGAGGAAAGATCGAACACTTTTCGTGCATCACAATAGCGATGCTGGATATCGATGGCTTCCGATTCGACAAAGCTACACAAGTCACGGTCGAAGCTCAAGCTGAGTTTGGCGACTTTGTCCGGCAATGCGCGCGGAAGTATGGGAAGAACAACTTCTTCATGCCCGGCGAGATCACAGGAGGTAACAACTTTGCGTCCATTTACCTTGGACGCGGGAGACAACCTGACCAAGTCCCCGACAACATCACCCAAGCCGTCACCCTGACCAACAACTCGGATGACAAGTATTTCCTGCGAGCGCATGGCAAACAAGCGTTGGATGGAGCTGCGTTTCATTACAGCACATATCGATCGCTAACTCGCTTTCTTGGATTAGACGGCAATCTAGAAGCAGGTTACGATGTTCCCGTCAACTTTGTCAATGCTTGGAATACACTTCTCACCACTAACGACTTCGTCAATGCCGAGAGTGGGGAATTTGATCCGCGGCACATGTATGGAGTCACGAACCAGGTGGGCTCTCTACAGAATCTCTGCACCATTCCTATCATAAGTACTAACATCATCAGGATGTCTTCCGTTGGCCCGCTATAAAGCAAGGCACCGAGAGAATGCTGCTCGGCCTCTTTGTCACAACGATCCACATGCCTGGTATTCCAAAACTTCTCTGGGGCGAAGAACAGGCGTTCTACATCCTTGACAGCACTGCTGCCAACTATATTTTCGGTCGACAGCCGATCTCTTCAGCTCAGGGGTGGCAAAACCACGGTTGCTACCGCCTCGGTAGCTCGCAGTATTACGACATGCCACTGGAAGCAGTGCTTGATGGCTGCAACGACGACACCGTTAGCCAAGATCACCGAGACCCTTCGCATCCTGTTCACAACATCATCAAGAACATGTATCACCGCCGTACTCAGTATCCGGTCCTCAACGACGGTTACTTTCTACAATCGCTCTCCAATCAGACTCGCTTGGTGCAACTGCCAGGCTCGAATGGAACGAAATCGGAGTTCGGGATGTGGAGTGTCATGAGGAATCAGTATCCGGATGTACAAAACCTGACCGAAGGGACTGAATCATCGCAAATCTGGCTTGTCTACTCCAACGAAGATCGCGATGTCAGCTACAAGTTTGACTGTAAAGACAAGAATAAGGCACTCATATCCGCATTCGACGCTGGAACGACAGTCAAAAACCTGTTCGCTCCCTACGACGAGATCAAACTCGGGAACAGCTCTACCGCCTTGGGCATAGACGGCTCAGAGGAGTTCAATGGTTGCGTCGATGAGCTCGATATGAAGGCGTATGACTTCCGGGCGTATGTGCCAAAGGGTAGCTGGCTAGATCCTATCCCCGTCATCACGAAGTTCTTGCCAGGCCATGATGCTCAGATTGAGTCGAAGAAAGGAGTGGAAGAGAAAGATTCGCTCGAGATTGAGTTCCAATTCTCCGAAGCGATGGATTGCGACGGGATTACGAAGGACCTCGCCATTACATCTGATACCGAGAATGACTTCTCTGCAACAGTTGACGAAGACACTGTCGACTGTGCTGATATCTCGTCGCTAGTATCGAATCTTGTCGGTGGCTCCACGTCTAAATGGAGCTGGAAAGCGACTCTGAAGGATGTCTCTCACGGCATTCACACTGTCACCGTCAAGAACGCCACTACCAAGGATGGAGAGCGCTTCACGAACGCCAACGATCGCTTCATGATCCGGATCGGAGCTAGGAACAACCCTATGGTCTTCCCTCGTGTCGCAAACTACACTAGTGGTGTACTCAAGAAGGACTCCAAGGGCTTACATGTATCGCACGTCGCCCCAGGCGCCAACAAGTGGCGGTACTCTACCAACTGGGGATCAACCTGGAGCCAATGGGAAGACTATGAAGGCGGTAACAGCGACCTTAAGACGCAGCCCTGGTCCGGTACCAAACGTCAAAGATGGGAGGGCGAGCACGTCATTCTTCAATACTGGAACCGCGTGACTGGAAGTAGCGATCACATCCAGCACACGGACACGAACTACAAGGGCCAACCAAGACGCTTTCCCCATCTCTTTGCTCACGGGCCGTACAACCAATTTGGATTCGATGCTGGTATCGACAGCTCATTCGACCTTGGCAAAGACGGGAAGTGGAAGCTACACATCATGACCGAATGGCCTTCGGTGGCCCAAGTCAACGTCTGGGGCATGAATCCTGGCGGTAAACCCGACGCGGGCTTCGTCTTTGGCGACGTTGACAACGATGGTGTTCTGGACCGACTGCCCCCGGACTCTCTCGCGAAGAACGTGCTGAACATGTCTGTCCTGCCACCTCGCCCATACCTAGCGTATCGCGTTGAGATCGACGATGCGACCCTGGCATACAAGCTTGTCTACACAGGCAATCGCTTCATACAACTGATCATGTTCGCTCTTCTCTGGTCTCTACCCGTGTTGACAGCTGCAGTCAGTATCTGGATCTACAAGGGCGCCTTCTATGGTGTCAAGTTCAACCAGACGGGTGTGAGCGCACAAGGTCTCGCTTTCTTCGCATCTTTGGCCTTTTGGCGCCGCGGCCACAAGTTCGAGAGTATCCAGTCTGACGATGTCGTCGAGCTGAAACGATCTACTCCGCGACTCGGCTTTCCAAGGTCGCGGGACTCGTCTCCCATGCCCGCTGCGGCTATCGGTAAGTTTGGTGCGAACAAGAAGAGGCCTATGA